TAATGAACTTCATATATACATTGTATCTGATTTATCATCACGGGTTTATTACGAATCAACTTAACGGCCTGCTCCCAGTTGGCTTGTTAGCTCAATTGGTAGAGCGCTCCACTAGTATCGCAGAGGTCAGTGGTTCGAATCCCGTACAGGTCTGATTTTTTTCAGGTCTGATTTTCGCTATTGCATAAATAGCGCTCTCTACTGCGAGGATCATGCATCACACGTATCTAATACCGCAGTTTAAAATATATGAACTTCATATATACATTGTATTTAAAACTCAACTTAGGAAGCATCTTATAAGTAAAGCAAATGTACGTTTGTTTTCTTGATTTGTATAAATTCTTGATTATTAATTTAACTTTAGTCAGTAGCATCCTTAATATTGTACATGACTACATCTTTTTATAAATATCACAATTGTAATTTTTTTTCTTAATATTTTTAATTATTAATGTTAATTTCAAAGATGAAGAGCCCCTTCTAGTGAAAATACTGTAATAGAGTCCTTATCGTTATTATTATTATTATTATTATTATTATTGTCATTAGATGTAGAGAATTGTTATGAGTTATAGGTGTGCACAATTCACACATTTTATAGTGACACGGAGATTATGAGAAAGTTGGAAGGCGATTGTATGGCCCTCCTCCCCAAATAGCAATCCAGTACCCCATTAGAATTAACACCCAATTCCCATCGATCACGGAATCCTACGTTATTACAATTGACCTTAGGCGCGATCCATTTCAAAAATAACAAACCAATATTTCACAAATGATTCCCGCGTGTTATAGAGGATAACAATTTCTGGATATGTATTATTGTAACCGTGTACATGATTTAGCCCTCCGACGAAGGAACATTAGCCCTCCGACGAAGGGCTAACGCTCGAAACGTCAGCTTTTGTAATCATTACGGTGGCTAATTTACCATTTCAACTTTGTTGATATATCCAAATTATCTTGTTAAAAGCTGTCTACGGCGTGACATCGGTCGGCTACTCGACCAGAAACCTCTCTCCGATTGGATTTTTTTTGAACGATAATGTTGACGTCACCCGACCTTTTTCTCAGACATGCGGCAAGGTCATACCTCACATACAGGCCTCATTGAAAAGCTCTCTCCAAAGAAACCAAAATGACAAAAGAAAAGAAGCTACGGGACCAAAAGAAAAACTATCTGCAAGATTACAAATGATGGAACAGACAATTAACTGTGAAGCGTAAATTAAAGTGCTAATTGAAACCAATGAAAAACCCTCTGGGCGTCAGCCCTAGTAAAGGGTTTTTAGGGAACCATACGAGGTAAAGAAAAAATTCTTACGACCTCAGTGGGAATCGAACTCACGACCTCTGGAAGATTAGTTCATGAACGCTAAGAATAATTTGGTAAATTTGAATCTTTTTGTTTCCAACGCTGTGACGTAGGCATGGTTTAGATTTACAGACGCGTCCAGTCCAACATATCGAACGCAATACTTAGATTAAAACCGTCTTAGAGGCTGGATAGTGTCTATGAAAGAAGATAATTTAGGATCAAGTCTGAAAAACAGCTGCGACGAAGATAGATAATTACTCAAGCCATGTGAGCCTCGTCGCAATAGCAGAATAGTTAATCTAAGCCATTATCTGTGACCTTTGATTACTAAATCTGCAAATTATGAGTAACAATTTATAAAACTCGTACCCTGTTGAGGAAAAAGGTTAAATTCATTAAAGGGCTTTCCTTCCCCTGTCATTCGTATATATATATTGCAAACGGTATATATTGTATATATTGCAAACGGGCTATTTCAACCTTTCAACGAAAAATCGGTAGACATGTAAAAGTTGAATGTCACGACACCGCTTGCCAAATGGATCTCTGAGAGTTTTACGTGACAAAGGAAATTATTGATGCTTTCAATGAATTGAACAACTAAGGACATGTCGACTTCGAAACCAATATGTATAGTTTCGAAAAACAGAATATTTAATGATTCCCACGTTACAAACTAAATTAGAGTTGTGAAAGATGTACTGACGAATTTAGGGTAAAAGGTCACGAATGACTGTCATAATCGTCAACACAATTTATTCCTTTAAGTTTCATCTAGTAACTACTGTCCATATATTGAAAATAATTCTTACTGAAAGTGGTTTTAGGACCACGGCCACGGACCCAGATTAACTGAAATGCAAATAGCATCGAAATTCCCAGAAATCAATTGACTCGTTGCGCATGAGTGAAGAGGTTGTTAAACAGACACCATTCCGTAAACAAAGCTCAACGGCGTCCTTTCTCGACTCCGTGATTTAGCGTTCTCTTTCTCTAAACAGGTATGGCTGCTTCGAAGAAGAGGGTTTATATATTCCAGAGCGAATATGATGTCTTTGAGAAGCTTGTTCCTTCCAATACTAAGCCAGAGGCACTAAGTGGAAATCTATTTGGTTTGTGGACAACCGATGGCGAACCTGTAATCCACATCGTTTCAAGAGAGCATTCCTGCGAAGTTGGAAAGGATCTTTCGCTTTCGCATATCGGTGATTGGTATTATGGCTATTCTTTAAAGCGACTTAGCACACGAAGAAGTCAGAGAGACGTTAAAAACTGCAGTCATAATACAGAAGGTAAATTTCTTGAAACGACAGTCAGTCTCAAACGTTCAGGACAAGAAGTCACGCTTCGGCTATTCATCGTCAACTTGAAGAGAGGTTCTCCAAAAGCCCTCGACGTTGAAGTTCTGAAAACTGAAAGCCCATTTAGAGAAATCGACACAGGCAGTCGTTTGAACGAGGGTTTTGAGGTGGAGGAAGAAATGGAATGGTCTACCTCCGAAGTTTACCCCAGCTCTTCATATCTCCAAAAAGATCCCTACGGTGAAATTACTCATGCAGGTGAAGCTTTTCCAAGAAATTTGGATAAAGGAGGTATACAGCAGAGAAGCACGTTCTTTTCTTCTGGCTACCAGCGGAGCTCATCTCGTGATTTCAAGGTATTTATGTTTGAAGAAGACATCGAGAGGATAGAAAAGTACATTCTTGCATATCCTCATCTAGAGACTGGAGGAGACCTGTTTGGTTTGTGGACCACTAATGGTGACGCAGTCATACATATCGCTCTGGGGCCAGGTCAGAATTGCAAACGGACTGGCGCCTCCTTTTATCAAGATATTCCCTATCTGCAAAGAAACGGCAACCTTCTTACTCAAGACTACTTGTTATGCCACATTGGAGAATGGCACTCACATCATCAGCTGCGACTTTTCCAACCAAGCCAAGGCGATTCGACGACTGTGATAAGAAACTACCCTCGAGGGACACAGGGCTTTCTTCTGATCATTGGCAACATCGAGTCGTATGGTTCTGTGAGATTATCCCCGTATCTTTACACTGAGAGATCCACATATAGCTTTGATAAAGCGGGAACAGTACAGGGTCTTCGCAATGAGAATCCCTTTAACAAGATCGAGAAGATAAAATACCAAAAGGAGAAGGGAAGTGAAGTCAGGGAACACTCACGTTATCCAAGAGCTACAAGTAGCCTTAGTCCTCTGCAATCCTCTTACAGCCCCTTTTTAAAAAGGTCCTCGGGGTCAAATTTCTTAAAGGTTACTCCCCAAGCACCAAATGGAGGGGTGCGAAGTCCATCCAGTGCCCAACTACCCTGGAGGTGAATCTGCAACGACGGAATTCAAATGTAACGATAAGCATTTTCAAATGTAAAACTGGTCATAAGTAACATAGAGCAGAGGGACATCAAACGTGCTTTGCTCCGAGCCACTGAAGGGCAGCTATTTGAATACTCATGGAGGGAAAGAAACTTCTTTTTGCTTTCGGAAGACATAATATTCAGACCATATCATTCTCAGTTCATTTTATTTGTCACTTTCGGAGGGATAGTGTCTTATGTAAAAGACGACACTGATAGTCATTGAGAAAATAATAGTCACAAAAAAGTATTTCGTCTGCCGTTCGGGAATTTATCTTTCTTATTTTCATAAGCAATCTTTCCATATACTGTAGTTTTAGTGTAAAATCATTTTATTAGATGTAAGAATGAAAAACAATGCAAAAATATATATATATATATATATATATATATATATGACAAAAATTTAATTCAAAATCGATTAGGTGTGTTTAATCTTAAATCGAATTAAAGAAATAAAAAATACTTTGTTCACCAGCACCATTTGCCTACTCCTTCAGTGTAATCATGAATCTTTGCACAAAGTTTATTTAAAAAAATCATTCGCTTTCCAGTAATTAATCCGGTTTTGAAAATTTTACTAAATGCTCGCTATAAAGCTACACAAAACGAGAACCATAATAACGTTTTTCTTGCGAGTTTTATAGCTGTTAAGTAATCGTCTTCCGTTTTGCCGATGGTTAACAAGCATGAATATCAATTTACACTCTTGCTCTTTCATTTCTGGTAACAGTAACGCCATAGCGGTTTTTTCTAATTGAGAATAATGCTGGCAATACTTTCCAGCTCATCGATTTTCTCAGAAGCGGATATTGTATCTTCGCTGTGACCTGCGTGACACGAATAAAACAAACATTTCTAAGAAAAGCCGGAATAAAACTAAAACCCACCAGCTGTCACTACACTAGAACTCGCACTTTTAATTGTTTGAAGGTAATATTTTGCACATCCTCGCCCTCTAAATATATATGCCAAAGAGAGTAAGTTGACACATGTTATACAACTCATTTGGAGTAAATACTTATAACCGCAAATGTACTAGATATCCACAGTTTGGGTTATTTTAAGAACAACGTTTCTCGGAAGTATTCAGATGAAGTGAGGTCTACGGTTTGTAACGCAACTAAACTTAATTGTTGGTTATAACTTTGGTGTCGGCTAAAGTTCTACTTCGGCTTGAACCTTAGATTAACCGACCAAAGATGGGGACAACACACGGGAGGCAATTTCAAGTGCATATGTACGAGGAAGACATTCAACTGATGAAGGATTTAGTGAAGCTTCATCCGGCGAAGGAAACTGGTGGAAATCTGTTTGGTTTGTGGAATAACAATGAAGAACCAGTTTTGCACGTCGTGCTTGGTCCTGCAGTTGGCTGCGCTCGCACAGAAGTATCGTTCTACCAGAGCATTCCCTACTTGGAGCGTGTTGGACGGTTGCTGACGGAGCAGTTTCTGCTCTGTCACATCGGAGAATGGCATTCCCACCACAAATTGCGTTTATCAGAGCCGAGCACGGGAGATTCTTCGACCGTCATTCGGAACTTTCCTAGAGGAGCGCGTGGGTTTATCCTGATCATTGCTAATATTTTGTCGAGCGGGGAGGTCACACTTTCGCCTTACCTTTACAGACAAGGGCAGACTACTTACGAAAGGGGTGAAATTAGCCCACTTGGCAGTTCTTGTAGCCCCTTCAGGAAAATAGATGTCATTAACGAATATATTAAGAAAGACGAAGATCGAAGCACCACTGCCCATGTACACATGAGAACCCCTCAATATCGAAAAGTGGAAAAATCGCCTAATAAAGAAACTTACGACAGGAAAGCATGTGCTTACATGTTTGAAGGTGACAAACAGATGATTGAAAATAGGCTGTCTCTCTCTGATGGGAATGAAATGGAAGGTGAATTGCTTGGGTTGTGGACGAGTCACGGCATGCCTGTCTTGCATCTGGTTCTAGAACCCAAGAAAAAAAATGGAAAAGAACTGCAGCCTCTTTCCTCACACAAACAGCCCACAGCTACCATGCAAACCAGAGATAACTTGGCTCCAGGTTACCCTTTAGAGAATATTGGAAAATACATTCTCAAAACAGGGGAGACAGGTGGACCATCTGAGGAAGACTTGTGCGGAATGCGGCGAGAGTATCCTGGTGGAGGTCTTTTAGTCCTAGTTTCTAAGATACAGGATAAAGTGGTTGCTATCCATCCATACCTTATTAAAAAAGGATCCGCAACTTTGCAACTTGAAATGGAATTTCTCCCTAGCAGAAAGGTGTTCATCCAAAAAGTGAATGATGAAAGTAAAGAAGAAGAAGAAAGAAATATTAAGAAGATAGATGTTGATGATCCCCTTACTCGTGGCAGTCCAACCTTTGAACAACACAAACAATTTTCCCCCAAATAGATCAGTATGGCTATTTCAGCATTTTGTGTACAAATGAATTTCTCTGAAATTAACAAGACACCAGCTAAGAAGAATTTTTACAATTGACAATATATAGCATAAGGTAGCCTCATTGATACCGTTGAAAATAAATGATAGACGGCCGTTACTTATTTGGTCGTTGGCTATCTGCGAAAAGGTTTGTTTCAAGAATGTGTAGCACTTCATATGCCGATCTTCCCTGGCGTCTTTAGTCATTCCCAACCGCTATGTCTTCTTGGTTGTCATAACAGTTAAGAGTAGAATTTTGCTCCTGGGATATTAGTCAGTGCTGCCCGATTGACCGTTTTGCCTTCGAAAACGAATGAAAACTGCTATAAATTGTAGAAATCTACTTATAAGATGTTCGGCTGGTCTCCTTCAACGAAATGGTCGTGGCTACCGATGAAAATTTTTTTCAAGTTTAAGTGCAATGCTGGATACACCGAGCCTTTATGTTGGTAGGAGTTAGTAGTAAAATTTCGCTTCTTGGTAATTAGTCAGTACTACCCGACTGACCGCTTTCCACTCTAAAACGAGTGAAAACTTAAATGAGTTGAATAAGTTGTAGGAATCTAGTCATAAAGCATTTCTGTCGTTCCCCCTCTGAGAAAAGTAATAACTATTTTCATTTACAAGCGAAATTTAGATTAAAGAAAATGATAAGGATTAGAAAGACGTTTTCTCTGGCAATGAATAGCACAAATTGTTTATTCTTGAAAGAAAACATAAACATTCTCAAGAATTGCGATATACTCGTATGATATTTTGGGGTGATAAATTAGACATTTGTCCGGCGTATTCAAATCGTTTCTTATCGTGAAAATTCTCACAATTCGCCAGAGAATGGGCTTTTAAATCCAGCCTGGATGCAACACGGTGAGGCATCAAAAAGCCTGAAAAAGTCTGTGTGGATATTTAAATGAGTTGCACTTTAAAAGAAAATAAACAGTTCTAGGAATATGTCGACGTAAATACGCATGCGTAGAGATTTCCGCTTTCACATCTTGCTTACGTTAAAACAACAAAGTGGTCTAGGACTCAGTGTGCCTCTGTACGTTCTCAAATATAGCACTTCTTGCTTCTGAAGATTCTCAATGGAAGACAGACAGAAGTTTCCACCTAGGAGACTAGCAGACTCCGGATTTGAAAGTTCACAGCGTACGGAGGGAAGTGCCAGTGCAAGCCATCAGCCAGTCAACTACACCAATCGACGCCGAGACGGTTCCTCGCAAGAACGTTCCGCTACGACCGTTACGACACAGCAGCAGCCAGTTAACTACAGCAATCGACGCCCAGACGATTCGGCGCAGGAGAGGTTAGAATTTGATAAAGATACAGGGAAACTCGTGGTTTGTAGGAATTCACAGGCACCACAAGCACCTTTTGTTCGCGAAAGTTCCGTGGCTGTACTCGAAGTCCGCGCACAAGTTCCAGATCGACCGGTTGTGGACGCCATGGCTGCTCAAGGATTTTTCTACTTCCAAATGATGAACGTTTTTTAAACGCATCTTGGAACTACTAGCTAGAAATCAAGGTTGCCTTCAAGGTATGAAGTGTCTTTAGCCGTAGAATGAGGCCTGTGTAATGTAGACTATTTAGTACAAAACGTGGTGCCATAATAACTTGTCAAAGAGCAAATCGTAATTTTACGCCCGCTTTTCAATTTATCCATTCTGTATACAAGCTTTCTAAATTCAACAAAAACTTTATGTACTTCGATAGAATGTAACACTGTGCAATGGAAAAGCGATGCTTTTTAATTTTCTGCGAAATTGTAAACTGCTCGATGCAGTCTGGCCAAAGTCCCCGCCGCAAAGTGTTGTAAAGGGAACTAGAGTATATTGATAAGGAGAATGCGCAATGTAAATGCATCATTTATTCAATTAAATACAATTTCTGCGATGTTCTGACAGATACTTCTCTTTATTTTGAAGCATAGAAAACTAACAACATTATCACTGACCTTTCGAATTGACAATTTCTTTAACAACCCAACAATATTAACTTTTTAGAAATCGATATGTAAACAATAGAACAAGGGAAAATTCCAAGAAAAGATGAATATTAAATTTTTAATGCGACATACTAATCGAACTCCCAACCCTTAAACCGAAAACTGATGCAATGGGCAAAAATAGGCATCTTATGCTATTAGTTTCATGTCATTTCACAATCCTTTTTTGATCACGTGAAGAAAGTAAAAATTATTTTTTATTCGTCGTGCGTCATGTATTGCGTGAGCAAATGCCAAGAATAGATCTACTTACATCAACAAAATCTAAATTTCTGGGAACAACCGGAAGATGTATAATCACTTGGTACAAACTGTCGTTCTTTCTTAGAAAAGAAGACAAAGAAAACAATCGAATCGCTGAAAATAACAATTTGTATTGAAATGTTGTGATAGAGCATTTAGAGACATGAAAAATTCCTTTGATAATTTTTTTCTTTTTTTGAGTTAGGGCATATCACTTGGTGGATATGCTCAGCAGGCTACTGTGTTACGAAACACAGTTTTCCACAATGAACAATAAGTTGGACGCTCGCTCAATTCTCTGAAAAAACACCTACTCACCAGAGGATACTTAAACAAAATTCAAATTTGACCTACTCTCCGTTTCCATTGATCACTTTACACACACTGATTTTTTTTTTCACTTATAAGTATAATATATACATTGTCTATTTCTTTTTTACTTTAGGTTATTTTTACGTAATTTTTACGTAAAGTGTAATTTTCCTTTCTTTTTTCACACAGCCCCACCTGCTTGGAGCGGTAAAATATTATCCTGTATAAATAAAGGTCATTTGTCTATCTATCTATCTATCTATCTATCTATCTAGCTACAAAATTTCACCGTGATAACATTGAAGATTTCACCACGACTAATCCTAACCTGTTATTTTTTCACCTAACAAATCCACGCATGCAGAATAAAGGTTTTTTCATAGTTTTTATCACATAGGCTACTAGATAGACAAATCGTATCAATATCTTCGAAGATATTCATGGGACGAAAGGAAAACTGTGATGCCACATCGGTGGGGGGTATTCCATGTACAAAATGATTTGGTTTTATCAACTGACTTTTTTGGCCACCGTTAAGAGATATTTAAAGCTAGAAAGGAGCTATGGGATATTTAACAGTTATTCCACGAGCGCGCGTTGGATATGAGATGATAGATAGCCAACGAGGCGCGTAGCGCCGAGTTGGCTATAATCATCTCATATTCAACAAGCGCGAGTGGAATAATTGTTTTATTAAAAAAGAAAACGCCCCCAAGATATTACAAAAACCTTCTCGACTTTATTTTGTAAGAAGAAACCGGATGTTACAATGTACGGATATTAGACTATGGTATATTGGCTCGTATACCATAATGGCTAAGCCAATAAAAAGTCTTGAATTGCATTATCCAATGATCCAGTATTTAATGATAATTAGTATGAGACTTGTTCCTTTGAGAGATAATTCATTTCTTCGATGCACTCTAAACTTATTTAGATTTCATTATTGGTGACCGAACCTGCAGCAAGAATACAAAACACACCGCGACGAAAACGATTCTTTCGGACGCCGACCGTACTGGGCGTGCCACTCTTCACCTGTCAGATGGTTTGAACCGTAAATACGCATGCGCGTTAATTTTTCATTCCGTTTCGTTTCTTTCATAAGAACATAACGAACAGCTCGCTTTTAATTTGGGTGTTTACCACTAAGTATTCAAACAGAACACTTCTTGAAGACCGAAATTCATAATGGAAGACAAGCAAAGGTTTCCTGACAGGCGTAGGGATCCTGATAACTTTGGACAAAGGGAAGATCCAGAGCATACAGCGCTCATACAGTTAGACGGGAATGCTTCGACACAACAACATCATATCAGCCACAGCAGTTCGCACGGCGACCATTCCACACAAGAACAGTTAGAATTTGATACCGACACTGGCAAATTGGTCTTGAGTGCAAATCCTCAACCATCACAGGTGACTTCGGTTCCCCTTGCCTCCGAAAATCCACTGGTTGTCGCTGGAGTCCAGCCACAAGTTCCAGATCGACCGGTCGTGGACGGCATGGCTTCTCAAGGATTTTTCAATTCTAAAATGATGAACGTACTGTAAATGCAACGCAGAACTGATATTTTGAGCTTTAGTCTGATGGTTTGGGTTGCACAGAGCTGAAGAACAAGTCTTGCCCGCAATTTATAATTATATAGATAAAACTATAGTATTTAAAGATACAACGTAATATAATGATTGTCGCTTTTCAATCTTACTACAGACACGAGCGTTTGATAAAAGTAAATTTTTCGAAACTTTTTCTACTGTTAACTTTGTTTGATATATAATCATATGGTGATGTTAATCTTGTTTATCATTTACGATGCAAAATTAAAGCAAATTGTTGCGACATGCACAAAGATCTACGTTTCTTTATTTTTACATAACTCATCGGATGAATATATTCCCAGTGAATTGAAATTTCTAGCGTTCAAGGATTGTTCAGGACAGCAGCCAATTCAAAGATCCAAGGAAATCAAAATTCCGGTCGTTGGGCGGAAAGCAAAAAAGACGTTTTTGTCATATATTAGAATCCACGTCAACAAGATAATGAAGACCTTTTGTCACAAATAATTCATGCTCCATCATGCAGTAACATAATGAAACGAGTTATTCAAACTTCTTAAAACTGAAAGGTTTAATTAGCGCAAACTATTTCCTTTCTCAGAAAAAATAAAGAAAACGATAAGAAAATTCGCTTTCGAGGAACTGATTGACACCACTGACCTAAATACAGTATTCTGTGAACTAATTTGGCAAATTTCTGAACCACGAAAAATTGATAACGGCGATGACTATGGTAAGCCAATTGTAGCAAAATTCAATACTAAAATTCAATTTCAATTCAATGAAATTCAATTTCAATTCAACGAAATTCAATTTCAATTCAAAGAAATTCAATTTCACGTAAGATTTGTTAAAATCGAGGGGAACTCTTTTGCTACAATGTATCAATGTTATGTTATAAAACAAATGTTAAACACCACAGCGTATACTACTGAGTTATAGATGCACTTGGGAGGTTTGCTGAGCACTCAAAGAAGTTAGAGACTCTTACGCTTCTTTTGTGCTTAGCAACCTCTCGCGTGCATCCATAACCCAATAGTGCACGCTGTGGTGTTGACCATTTGTTAATTCATGGACATGAGTGAACGAAAGGGAAAACTACGAATGTGAACCAAAAGGCAGAAAAGGTGGAAATGGGAATGGAGGAGAGGGTTGTGGGGAAATAATTTTTGCAAACTTACTTTGTATGGCACCCTTCTATTGCCCATTGATAACTGGTGAGTTATCTTACTTGATCACCGAAAGAGTTAAAAATTCACTCCAAATTACAAAAATTATTCTCGACACTACAAGTCACACATCATTTATTTAGAAAACTAAAGCAAACAATTCTAAAAATAAAGATGCTCTTAATGTTTCCTGCACGTTTTAAATACTATGGCTACGCAGTTTGATGGAATTGACGAAATTTAAGTTTACTCATTGGATGTGGCTTTCTCGTAATGGTAAAACATCATTAATGTTCAGGTTTGAGATTTGCTGCCTTCATTTTGATGTTCTTCATCTTGATGTTCTTCTTCCTGTTTTTTTCCTCTGTCCATCATCCCAACAGCATTTGGCGATCCGAACAATTTCCTCTCGACTTCCTGAGCTTTGGCTAAGTTTGAAGTTCTACACAATAGTTAGATTAAGCACCGCGAAAACGGCGAAAGCTGAACGTCGGCTAGCCGTTCGTCGTTTTGCCGTTCCGTCCGCGAAGTTCGTCTGTTTAAGCTTCCCGACGACAGGGCAGAACAAATGTTCTCGGTCGCCATTCACTGCGACTAGAAATAATGGATACAAAGAAGTAATGCATTTTTTGCTTGAATCTGAACTCTATTAGCTTTACAAGCAGTTCATATAGGAGTAAGATGATAAACGAAACTTAAAAAAAAGCAAGCAATCAAAATGTAGAAATAGTCGGTAAAAATGGGCTGCAAATACTCACGTTTTCGCGTTCCCTACAAACGCGAAAAATGTCCTCCTCGAATAGGAACGGCGGCTGGCAAACGGAAAACGCGGGAAATGTCAGGTCACGTGACCCTCCCTAACGTTCGCCGGAAAAAAATACGTGGTGCTTAATCTCTCTAATAATTCGATGAAAGCTACGTGAAATTGTCGTGTCCTAATGGCTTAAATTAGTGGATTAAGCTGAATGTTGCAATCGACACTGAATGCTTAGATATCGAAGTGCATCTGGTTGAATTACACGCACGACTCCCCCAGACGGTGTTGTTTGACAGTAGGGCAAAAGCAACAACCATCCTATCGATCCCCCGGAGAGTCTTTAGTTGGTCAGATGCGCTTCTATATTTAAATCCCGTATAAGGGCAAAAGGATTACGCGTACCTACAAAGCGATTTACCCAGAATGGGTGGTAAAACGGATCGGCTCTCGGATCGATGCACTGGAATTTGGAAACTTTTGCCGCTCAAACGGGTAGGTATTAGTTAGATTAAGCACCTCGAAAACAGCGAAAGCTGAACGTCGGCTAGCCGTTTGTCGTTTGCCGTTCCGTCCGCGATGTTCGTCTGTTTAAGCTTCCCGACGACACGGCAGAACAAATGTTATCGGTCACCATTCACTGCGACTAGAAATAATGGATACAAAGAAGTAATGTATTTTCCGCTTGAATTTGAACTCTATTAGCTTTACAAGCAGTTCATATAGAAGTAAGATGATAAACGAAGCCTAGCTATAAAAGCAAGCGATCAAAATGTAGAAATAGTCAGTAAAAGTGGGCTGCAAATACTCACGTTTCGCGTTCCCTACAAACGGGAAAAATGTCTTCCTCGAGTAGAAACGGCGGCCGGCAAACGACAAACGCGGGAAATGTCAGGTCACGTGACCATCTCTCCCTCTCGCGGGAAAAAAATACGTGGTGCTTAATCTCTCTATTAGCAAAGCGCTCTCGCCGGTTGAAATTTGAGGGAGATCGGTCGACTTTTGTGGAATTTATCGGCCTTCGAGTGGCGACAGTTGGTGTTTGGGACCGGTTGAAGTTTCCAGCCTTGAGTTTTTCTATATACAGTTGACTGGTAGCACTAAACGTGTTACAAAGAAAGTCGCCAAAACAGTGTTAAAAAGACCGTAAACGACAAAGTGGCTACGGAATAAAGGTAAAGAGACTTCACACGTTATATTCCTCGCTTTTATTATCCTTTTTAATTTTTTCTTCATTTTTTTTTAATAATTTTCCTTTTTAACGGCCCACGCTTACGCTTAAAATTCGATCTTAATATATTAGGTATTCCTGTTAATGACCTTTAGACCCCAAAATCAAACACAGTACGCTTGGGCCGCCTGTGAAACAACGAGAGAAACTACAGCGCGAATGTGGCGAGCAATTTTTTTACTCCAGATCTATTTAGAAGTATCTTTGGAACATTTTGAGCGTTATTAGTTAAAGAAACTAGAGGTTCCCTTTAACTAAACACATCATATATTTTTCTAAACTTTAAAAAGTGAAGATGCTATCAATGTTTCCTGCATGTTTTACATACTATTGCATTGCAGTTCAATGGAATTGACGAAATTTAAGTTTACTCTTCGGATGTGGCTTTCTCATAATGGAAAAACATCATTAATGTTCAGGTTTGAGATTTGCTGTCCTTCATTTTATCATTTTGATGTTCTTCAGTTTGATGTTCTTCATTTTGATGTTCTTCTTCCTGTTTTTCTTCTATGTTTATTACTTCCACAGCATTTGGCGATCCAAACATTCTCCTCTCAATTTCCTGAGCTTCAACTAAGTTTGCAGTTCTACACGATAATTCGATAAAAGCTACGCGAAATTGTCGTGTCCTAATGGCGTAAATTAGTGGATTAAGGAAAGAGTTGAATAGTGCAAACGACACTGAAAAGATTAAAATTATAAACCTTGCTTTTATAGACATGAAACCTGACCGGCTTAAAACAATTCTAACAACGGTTATTGGCAAGTAACAGAGAAAAAGTACTACAATAATTGTAGATGTCAGTTTGAGAGCCTCCTTGTCTTTCAGAAATTTCTGCCTTATCTCTTCTGTGACTTCTTGAGTTGAAAGTGTCTTTTGCTGTCTGCTAACCTCGCGGTAGACTGTTGCATGGCAGAAAGCTACTATGGCGACAGAAATTCCGATGAAAATGTTGTTTGTAACATAAAAGGCTGATCTATAATCAAAAAGAGGAATGTGCAGTGTTATGGAAAGGAGCCGCGCAACACTTAAGGCAACCAGCAAGCGGACCTCTGTGACGAGTCCGTTAGCATAGGCGTAAACGTGTTTTATGGTTAAATATCGTTCTCCACTCACCAAAGTCAGGTGGATAAGAGACGAGTTACACAGGACACTTGTCATAAATTGTGTACAAATCTGTAAGAAACATAACCCTCTCGTTAGTTCGCTGATCAAGTCGATGATTGAAACCACAATTAACATCGGTTGAACAATCACACCCACCGCCAAATCGGTCACCGCTAAACATGCAAGCAGTATGTTGGACTTCTTGGCTTTCAAGCGGCTTTTAGTTTTCACAGCTATAATCACCAACATGTTGAGAGTCGCAGTAAGAGGAGAGGTGATGATGTTGGTGATTACGAGAAAGATAAGAAAGTTTTTAGCTTGGGCACCAAAATCGGATAGCTTCCCTCCCACTGCTTGGTAGACGCTCCATTCAGGTGGGAAAATGTTGTCGTCCACCCTGCTTGAATTCATCGCACATGTAACTGTGTATCTCTCCCTAAAATTAGTTGGACTGTAAGGTCTCCTTTTCGATATTTTAGTAAGCATCTATCGCTAGCTGCCTTGATTTAAGATAAATTTTTTTCCTTTTTAAAGAAATTAAAAGATATGGTAGATTCTCAGACTCTGAGACTGTTTCAATGAGCTGCAAAATAGATGAATTCTACAACACAGAATCCAAACCGTTACTAAAGTTTGGGTGCTTAGCTCTTTTCCGTAGACACGACAAGAAAAGAGAAACGGTCTTCGGCTCGAATGGGAAGCAAATAAACTACTCTTCACGACAATAAAACCTTAATGCAAATAACCTTAATTGTTCTGGTGAGAAATGATGATTAACTTTGGGAGTGAAAGCGTAGGACTTTTCTGTAGTAGTTATATGAGTGAAGCATTCACAGCTTACACTTTAGTAGCCTAGTCATTTCCTGCTTCAAACTGAAGCTATAAGAAGGACGGTACGACCCACATACTGGGTTCTTTAGGTAACAATTATATTGTTACAGGAAAATTTAGCGATTTTTCCGTGTGTATGTTTCAAGCATATTTATTCGTTTTTCCAATATTCTAGTCGTTTTTAAATCATTTGAGTTTCTTTCATTGTGATGCTAAAAGGATATAGGAAAAGCCATTGTAGCTTTTGGAGTAGTCAACTAATACATTTTGCTTTGTTACCTGTCTTCATTGTACGCCTGCAGGTTGGTACTTTTGTCGACCATTACTATTCTATTGAAATTGCAGGAAAATATAAGTGTTAATGATCTTTCTGGAAATTGGTTCTCGTGGTAGTTGGAAGCTGAGTTTTTGCTCGTAATTTCACTTTTTTTTTTATTGGATAATTTTTTTCACTTCGGTGTTTTCTGATCTTAACACCAACTTCTCGTGGGTAAGTGAATTTTTAATTACTTCTCGCTTTTATTTCCTAGTCTGCTTTACTGTAATTAAGATAAGTATTTTTAATTGCCAAGTTGTTAATTTAATCCCCGTTCTCTTAGCCAGTGCTTTCCGAAGAGATGGAATAAATAATTAGAATCGTTAACTACAAAGACAAATTTTCCGCTTCTTTTGACGGATACTATTCAAATCTTGTAAATTTAGAGAATAGAACGACGCGCTCGATAGTATTTAAGGAAGTAAATTGTAAAGCTTTTTGATTACATTCTGCGATTACATTTTGCGATTACTATATGCGATCACATTCGATGACATTCTGCAACCACTCTTTTGAGTGCGCCACTGTTCATGTCGCTCACAAGCATAAGCTGTAATAAAGTTACAGTTGGAACCAAACGCTGTCATGTCTTTGACCTCCGTACAAGTTCTCTCGGGGCAGATCTCCGTGTACCAGGAAATCGTGACGAATGTCCGTTCCCGATGTCAAGTTATCTCTACCAAGCTACTTCTCCCGTTGTTTTTGCGTTCCCCGCTGAAGTCTAGTTGTAGGCGAAAAACCTATCGTCACGGTATTTCCGAAAAAATTGAGAAAACGAAAGGAAAAGACCACCAGATAGACACAATGAGGATTTAATTGTTTTAATTCGGTTTGGGTAACTTGGTACCCGAAATAATTATTCTTAAATTTATTAAATAGTATAATTCATTTGAAATAAGATATTCGAAAATTGACAGATAATTAAATACATTTGTAAGTTTTAAGGAAATTCCTTGAGCAAATATGGTACGAGCGTATGAAAGCCACGATAATCTGTATTTACAGGCAAACTGCCAACAGTAATCAACAATGACACTGAGGTAAATAATTGTTTTAGTCGATACTACACAGATACAAAAAAAAAAATTTCCTTTCAGCATACCAAAACATGGTCGGAAATTAAACTCTTCATGCTCGATTTTGCCTCATCGGCTGCTCGAAGGCGAATTGCACTTGCTATTCACTTTCAAACTAGCCAATCAGCGCGCGTGAAAAGCACTGGTCACCTTTTTGGTATATATTAATAGAGTGTACGGGGTGGATCATTTGAGAGAGGGGGCAATGTATGAATAAACATGAAAAGAATTGGAAAAAATGATTCATCCTTATTAGAAATTATTCTCCTGTCTGAGACGACAAATGGCAGTATCATCACTAGTTTGCGTGGATTATGCCACTGCAGTTTTAAAATTCTCACACTACAGTAACACACACAGCAAGAAAAGGATAACCGTCAGTAACTAGCGTTACTCAGTCATTCTGAATGTTTTAAGTTACTTATCTACCGCAACTCATGAAAATTTCTCGACTAGTGTATCGGGGGAAAAGTTTTAAAGAAACTCTTGTGCTGCGTCGGTGGGGGTATTACAAGTAATTTGGCTTTATCGACTGAGTTTACAGTTGTAAATCGGCAACCGTAAAGAGATTCCAAAGCTTACTTTTGGAGATTTTGCCCGTCGTCAAAGAAACAAAACTGAATGACAACTAAACGGTATTCCTAGGTGGTCAGACAGAAGAGATGTTAGCGATGTTTTTTCACGGATATAAAAAAGGTAGATATCACAAAACTGACTCCACAAATTTAAAAAATACTATCAATGAAATCTGTTAGAGCAGACTAGATGGCGCGAGGTGTGAAGCAGACGTCCTTGGTTTTAAAACATTATTACGTACAGGGTTCATTCTTTTGAATATATAAGGGCCAAACTTCAGACCAGGACTCTTTTTATCCGAGGACGGTGGATCGAAGGACACTCTCTCTCGATTCTGTCCCAATCCATAGGTCATGCAGTCCAATCCAGCTCTATAAATTACCTCGAACACGTGGTCTGTGATGGGCTTCAGATAAGAAAAACCGAGGGAGCCCGGAAGTTGGGTGAAGAGCAAAAGTCCGTTCTCTTGTGTTATGTTAACAATCACTTCCGGCATCCAATGAGAGACAATACGGTATTCCCCAAGGTACTGTTCATTATTGGAAAGGAGCTGGATCTAAAGGACATTAAAAGAAAAAGTCATAATGCTGCTGCACTGACATAGAATAAAATTTCCTTGTAACTACTTTAACAGAAATTGTTTCTAATTAGTAAAGGTCAGAGGTCCGAGTGTCGCCCTGAGTGAGCTTCTTAAGCTCTAAAAAAGTGTTTCTTCCATGTGATTTGCAGCAGGAATTATAAAATAATAGATCCTCATATTTGGCTGATGGGTCAGCACTAGTTATCTCTTCTGCAGAATTTAGCCTATTCAGGAATCTTCAATAAATCCCTTCGATTCCAACTCAAAACACAATACACCTGATCTTTCAGGGCGTAAAATTGCGCCTAATACAGGCGCCAATGCGACTAAATTTTTCACTTTGGCGACTAGAATTTCTAATCACACCTTAGCTAGAGATCTAGTGATTGTTGAAGATTAGATAAGATAAATCTGCACCAAAGTTCCTCGGTAAGCTCGTTACCAAAACGCAGCACATGCACGATGTCGAACGTAAATCTGTCGTCACTAGACGCCATATTGGATTTAGGTAACCTATAACGTTGTATATGATCCATTCTAGTGTCCTCTTTGTAGCTCGTGCGAATTTAGCGGGCTCATTTTTGATGTTTGTATGACTGTATCACTGATATGATAATCTATCTAGTACAGTGACAGTGTAAAAATTTTTTTTGGGTGTGTTTGTCATAATGGCCACCAACTTTTTGGAATTGGCTACCACTTTAAAATATTTAGGAGCCAAGTAGCTACCGGAAAAAAAAGTTAATTTTACGCCCTGTCTTTATTATCTTGACAGTACTGTATTCACAATAGATTGAAGGTTTGTTGTACCTGCAGCTGTTGACGCAATAACACGGCATCCATCTTTTTGGCCAGTGTTTGGACAATTGAAAGCACAAGCCTCCACGCAACTTCACGGCCGCTGACAAGGGCAATTGCTCCTGCAGATGTATTTTAAAGGTTGATAGCATCAAAAATGCGAACATTCAAAGTACAGGATTGCTGACTGGCTGGTTAAACTAAAAACACTGCACAGAAAATAGATTAAAATTTATTCTGAAGACGACTTTGTACTTAGATTGAACAAAGTTGGGTCTTATATTAACAATTTACCAACAATTTTAGCTGAAAAAAGCGGCAAAACCTGTATGGCAATCCCTTATTTGGTGAGGCGTAACTAACACAGGGGTTTCGATTGTTTAACCGTTCAGAAATCAACGTCAGTGGGAAAACGCAAAGTTAGAGCGCATCTAAACTGAGTATAGAGAACCCAAAACCAAAGATCTACTACAAAGAGGAAAAACAAAAAAAAAATTATTACAGAGACCATAGCGAAAATAAAACGGAGAAAATCCTTCGAATTAAGTTCTGTTCTGAACACTACAGTCGACTCGACCGTTTTATTGTTTGAAACTTCAGTTCCTAAATAAATTCCTGGTGGATAACGATTGTCATGTTAAACTTAGTATTCAAATAGTTTTTGTGCTTCCTGCTTCCAGTAATGCATTACTTTTTGCAGCAATTCGTTTAACTTAGTCAGAGAAGTTTATACGTTGCTTGGTTTAGAATGACAGTCATGGACATTGTTATGGATCACGTGCGCCCAAACTAGATATGTTTTTGAAAGTTGCTTTCTGCGAGTTTGTGTTGATTTATAAAATACAGTCCTTCGGTGAAGAAAAGTGTAATTTACGAACCAGCAATTAAAGTGCTATCGTCGCCAGAGCAACAGTACTAATCAAACGATAATGCAAATACCAAATACCAACCAAGCTTAAATTCTGGAACAAATGCAAATCCAGCAGAATATCCCGGAACAAATCCTGACTTTGTCACAACTGAATATGTACCGGCGTCAATAATCTCCCAGCCAGTCCCAAACACAGTGCTACCATCCGGGTACATAAAATCTGTAAGTGAAGACAGGAAAGGAATCAACCACCTAAGTTTTCTCAGACCTCTAGTTTGGCTTCCTTCTTCTAATTTCTATCGCTTCTCTTATTTTCCCTTTTTTCACTGCTGAGGAAGAATGCACATATCTCCTTAAGGGCTACAACAAACTGATAATGCGTGATCAAAGTAGTCACACGATGCTAGTCTAACGTACGGAATGAAGGAAGAACGTTTCTCTTCCAAAATGTCTTCAAAAACCAAAACCTAGCTCTGAAATAAAGTAACCCATTATATATATTTACTATGCCACAGTTGTTAGACAAAAGCTTTTTCAAAGACTTAATAGTATCAGTTATATTACACGCACATACCTGGTTTCATTAACTGCTGTACCAATTCTCGGTTTAGTAGTGATGCGCTTGACATGCCAAGTAAAAACGTCATAAGCTGTGCGGAGAAATAAAGCAATTCATTAACCCTTTTCATCTCCAGATCTCCTTAGTAATTCTTCTTACTGTCTGCCGTACAATTCTTATGATGTTAGTGTAGAGAATTTGGTATTGGATCACCTAATAATCCTCTGATTGATATTTGTCTTTATTCTCATCACTTGTCTGCTTGATATTGCGTTGATATTGTAAGGAGAAATTCTGACTGAATTGGGATTACTTCCTAACGAACATGAGATTGGTCAGAACATGGATACCAGAGTTTTCCAATAACCAATATACAAGAAACTGAGATAAAGAGCCCAATCGTGTCGGTTTGGGAGGGAAAAAAAATTTACGAATCTTTTGAAGACAACAAAGGAAAGAAATCATTTTTCCTCCGTCTGTGGTCATCGATTGGGTTTTGTGTATGAAATAGCATCCATCAGCCGAAGGTTGAAATGAAATCCTCCTTTTTTTCTCAGACTTAAATCGAAGAAGGCAATTCGTGACGCCAAATCTTGTTAAGGTTCTCTGCATTTGAATGGCATATTTTCCCGAGGACTGAAATCTAGTCCATCGATGTTAACTCCCGCGTTTTGTCTTTTTCCTTAATAATCAAGAATATTCTATTCGCGTTTCAGGCGGATTCTTCAACAGTCGATTAAAACTAAACCCGGGTTAAAAAAGGGGGTACGTTTCCAAAGAAACTGTGGCGCTGCGTTGGGGCGGGACGTCAGAGCGAATGACGAAGGGCTAACACTCAACGCATTAGATATAAAATTTCTTCAAGGTGATCAATTTACTTTATCAACTAAGTCGATAGATCCAAGTTACCGTGTAAACCCAGGTTAACTGGATACAGGATCTAAACCGTGTCCTGTTAGTTCGACCTGGACTAGCGCTGATCGTGCTAGTAGGTTGGCGATGAACATATACACAGAAAACCCATGGGAAGGAGACCCCTTCTAGGCCTTAAACCTGTCCAACTCAACCCGGCTGCCGTCATTAATCTCTAGGACACCGCTTTTCTCTTGGTAAACTCATTCCACATCAATGTTAGCGTTGCGTCATAGTGTGAAAACAAGTAATGTCAAGTAATAACAAACCTTATAAAGATCATTTGCCGTCGAGTATGCTTGAATTGCTGGGGCGGCCCAATCCCAGTCTACTAGAGGAGCTTCACCATCGTCATCGTAGCCCACAGCCATGTTAGAGGGCATTCTGTGCAGAATAAATAACAAAAATTAATACGCTGACCGAGTTGCAAGCCCATAATAAAGCTTCAACGATTAAAAAATGAAAGTACTTTCACAAAACGTTGACAATGAAGAATGTTTAACCATGTTTTTCCTTTCTTTAGTTTTGAAACACGACCTAAGTAATTAAGTAACGCACAACTACCTTCTGAGGTTGAAGCCGGTTTGCCCCATTCCTAATGGTTGGAAAATATTTCTCTCCACCCAGCCCTCGTAGTCGCTGTTTGCAAATTTCTCCGCAAAAATGCGGGCAATTAAGGAATAGCCCAAGTTGCTGAAAAACAAAATAAGTTCATTAGACTTTGTGGAACCATTTGGATTCCTACAAGAACACATGTGTAAAAATTCATTGTCTTTTTAAAATAACCACCATTATCCACAGATTCCGATTGATACATAATATGTAATTGTCTTCCATTGAGTTGAGTTGAGTTGAGTTGCATAATTTAATTGTGTACCGTTCAATAACCCAAATATGTGCATTCTACTATGAATAGAGAAGTCAGAATGCCACATTAAGATTATTCTCCATTTTCTATCATCAAGAAGCGATGGTATGCCCTTAGTGCCAGACAGGAGGGAATGCCAAAATCAGGAGAGGAGATTTCCCTCATGTGATCTATTACTTCTACGCCTGCGTGTTCCTCTAAAATACATTTGGAAGATACACTTCTATCAACTCAGCAGTGAAAACGAATTGCATTAACCGACCGCAATGCAACAATCCTCTTAGCCATTTCTTTGGGCAAAGTGACGAAGTGAAGTTCTAACTCAACGAATCTGACACATTTAGAAACTTTTGATTGTCAAGTTACCGTAGACGGGTTTCGTTTTCCTTTTTCTTACCTGTAGTGCGGCAGTCTTCCAGGGGGACTCTTCAGTTCAGTTTTACTCAGTTGTTCAAGGACGTACGTGTTGTTAACAGGACACACGTGAGTTTTACCATATGAGTATGCGTCACTGCATGGAACCTCACGAGGGAGGCCTGACGTGTGGGCTAAAATTTGTCTGTAGAGAGGCACATAGACAAAATATATGAGATTGTATGCATTGGGACCGGTCATTATCTATCACCTAGCCGGGGAGGGGGCCGGGGGGTTCGGAGGATTTTGGTTGTGTCATGGTACAATTTACTTGATTCCCCCCATAAGACTCTATAGTATTATTATTATCCCCCTCATTGGTAGTTAATCAATTTTCTATAGTCCTCCCCCCCCCCCCTTTACACTCTGTTGGTATCGGCCAAAGTCCCCCTCAGTTCACCGTGAAAACCACGGGATGACGCGCTGGTTATATCCAGACATGCCCTCTATGTACGGTATGAAAACATCCCTGTAAGCATTTCGCGTACCCCTAAACCCTCCAATATCCGCGTCGCCCACAAACCCGTCACTACGCTGAGTCATCTATTAGCAAACTTCAAAGACAAGGACGAACCGAAGAACAAACAAAAAGCGGTTTGTTAGATCAAGTGCTTCAAGTATCAAGCCTCCTACATCAGAGAGACAGGCAGAAATCTCACAACAAACCTGCAAGCGAGCGATAAGAAAAGCTCGCTGATGTCTGATTGCACAATGCCTTACCTACAGTACTAACATTTTTCAACGACTGACTTGGGAAAGCTAGTTTACTAACTTAGAACAGACTCCCGTCAACAGGAGTCAACTACGACCGACACCATACAAACGACTTTTTCACGACATTAACATCACACGAACCGAACAGAACGACGTAACTTTACCGACGGATCGAAACTGACTGATCATGAGCGACTTACGCCACTTGAGTCTAACAGCCAATAACATCACGGCTAAATCGATCCAATCAGTTTACACGAAACGAGCAGTATGTCTATTCGACTGACTACTATTTACTTGATTCTGATGATGACTTCGGTTGCGATGGTCACCATTGTCGATAAGAATCCTTCTCAGGATTTCATTCACCCAGACAATCAGACTACTTGATCACGTGTTACTAACGGGTTCAAACCATTTACTGTTCTATCCTCGTCATCATAAGAATCATTATCAACATTTTTATTGCTAAAATTTTTCATGTTGTTTGAATTCATCATCACCACTAACTCACCTAATTGTTATTTTTTGCTGATTGAAAGAATTCCTAACTTGAAATCTGGGTTCATATTTCTCTAACGGGTCGTCTAAACAATCTATTCTGCCGGTTTCCAGCAGTTTGAACACAAATATGGCCTGGAAAAATAAAAAGACGATATGCACTTAAGACTTTGCACATGCGATGTATTCACCGTGTTAAATGTGAAAGGTAATCCTCTACCCACCACACAATATAGACAGCATAAAACCTTCTTTGATACCAGCATGGGAAGACGAAAACAACAAAAACAGCAACATCATCTTTAACAATTACAAGTGACAATAATTGATAAACAACAGCAACGCAAAGAGTGTAATCATATCTATGTACATGGTGAGTAGAATAATCGTTTTGTTACCCGATCGATTACTGGAGAAACTTGTTTATTTTACATACTTGTTTTCAAGACATGAAAAAATTGCCAAATGGACATTTTTGGAAAATTGGTATTTGAGCATTATAATCACCTCCAGCGAGATAACTATAGAAAGAGGAGACGTTATGCTCAATCGCTTAGAGCTCGCACATGTTTAAGATAGCCCAAGCGATTGAACTCATGTATAGCCTGCGTTTGGGTACGACAATTAAATTTTAAGAAACAGAATAACGGAAGCGTTTTGATTGGTTCTTACCTATTATCTATTGGAGGACAGACGCATAGACGACGTCATCATTAACATTTGTTTACTTCTTTATTAAATAAAACAAATAAATTCCATGTTCCGTGGGTCAGTTCAGTTTTTATCACATTTTGACGTCATCTGTGATCTGTTACTGAACTGACCCACGGTACAATGGAATTTATTTGTTTTATTTAATAAAGAAGTAAACAAATTTTCATGATGACGTCACCTATGCGTCTGTCCTCCAGTAAATCTGACGCAAGGTAACAACGAACCTAATTTGCTAATAATTGATCCTTAATATTCATGTACTGGAAGAAAGAGATACCACGCACACCGGTCTAAAGAGAATTGGTTAACTAGTCAATAGATATGTTCTTCAATATATTAATCAAATCACCAATCATCCGATCTAAATTTTACGCTACAGTGACCGAAGAATACTCACTGTAAATATTTTAGTAATGCTGGCAACTCGAAATACAGTATCTTGATCAGGCGAGACCCCCAGATGGTTTTTGTCTTTAAGCCCATAATTTTTTCTCCATACCACACTGTCTTGGTAAACAACATTAGCAGTCATCCCCACCTGAAGAAGATATCACATGCAAAACATGTAATTTTGTCATTTGATAAACAAATATGTTTTGGTCGATTTGTAGTTTATTACCTCAGTTTTTATTCTCCCCAGTCCTCTCGATCCTTAAACACGATGGCGCGCTATAAAAGGAGCCTTAGGTCCCACTCGACCATTTGTCAATCAACTGTCGTGTGATGTAGAACTCTTAAAGTCAAGTCAGCTTGAGCTACAGCTACTCCAAAGCAGTGAACAGCGGGCGCATTCCTCAAAATTGTTTTATGTCTTCATCACAATACAAGAATTTTTGAGATTTGTATTTCCTTTCTCCAATGGAAACTGTCTTTATTTGTGGCGGTAAATTTGAGATCGAAGTAGGTGGTTCGCACGTTACCTCATGCCACCATGCTGGTGGAAGTAAACAATAGATATCTCATTAGCTCCTTTTGTTCGTCTACCAGCATTTAAATTTGACCCGCACACGTCAACGGTGAGTGACAAATGAGCCTAGGTCTTCCCAGGGAAGACTTCCTTATATAGCGCGCCTTCGTGTTTAA